GTAGTGGAATGACACATGCATGGGCTTTGAGCAGACTGCATTTGAATGTTACTGACAGAAACCAGCAACTGTGTAACTCTGAGCGTCCTACCTTCACTCATCTGTAAAATAAGTCTGACCACATATGATTGCTATAAGTATTTTCTCAGAAAACGGGTAAACACTGGGCAGATGTTGAATATGTAGTCAATGATATGATAGACCTTGATTTAGAAATAAAATTTCAAAGCTATCAACCAAAACAAACCAAAAATAATAAAGATATTAAATTTAATAATTTAATTTTAGCTTAATGACTTATGACTAGCTATATAACTATAAAATTTATAACTACTTAAGAGAAGGCCTCAAACAGAGTCTATAGAAAATTAATTACTTTTTAAAGATATTCCTATTTCATGCTGTGATTTGAAACACAAAAAACTGAGAATGGTTAATTTCTCCATGACCATTAAAAATTGATTTGATTTCCATTTGGAAAATCATTTCAAATCTGGTTCAATTACTGTATATGTTAAGAAAGCTTTAAAAACGTATCCACACAATCAATGGCCATATGAAAATTCTCTGGGATAATAAAATTGAAAAAAAAAAAGAAAACCTTCCCCTTTTAACACAAATTACTGCTCTAAAACATGTGACACACATCCAACTTAATTTCTGACCAGCTCTTGACTAGTGGTTTTCTGGCAGTTGAGCATATAGTAGTATCACATTCTGACAAATGATGATCTCCTGATGGTGACATTCAGCTGTTATCAATATTGTAAACATGTCTGTTAAATCTGTTTACATTCCCCCTGAGCTGGCACAGCTTTCCTAATGCCTATATTAATAGCAAGGTAGAACTGCAATAACAAATGAATTTCATTTAGTCTATGGCTAAAAGCCTTGAGAAGCACCCATCTAAGGCTTAAAACCAATTTCCATTTAGCTTCAATTTCTCTTTTAAAGAGAAATTTCTGCTACTTAAATTACTTTGAAAATTACGGCACAATCAAGTTTATTTTCCTAGTCATTTTTGGCTTGTTTTCCCAATATAATTAGAATTTAATTATTCCTAATCTCCTCTAGTAAATATATAAAAAGTTTCTGTCCTATGACAATTTCACATTTATTAAAAACAAATCTAGTCAGGGCCAGGGGAGGAAGGGTACAATTGAGAGGATCGTTTTATGAACTATATAGATGTCTAACCAATATACTGTATACTTGAAACTAATTTAAATAAATAAATTAAAATAAATTAAATTAAATAAAGAACCTCAGGATAAGGAAAAGAAAAGAAAAAGAAAAGAAATGAAACGAAACGAAACGAAACGGAACGGAACGAAATGAAACGAAACGAAACGAAAAGAAAAGAAAAGAAAAGAAAAAAGAACCTACGGATTAAAAAAAAAGAGTAAATCTAGTCAGAGTAGGGTCACCAGATTCAGCAAAGAAAAATACAGGATGTCCATTTAATTTTGAGTTTCAGATAAACAATGAATAATGTTTTAGTACATGTGTATCTCAATATTATATGGAACTTATTTATACTAAAATATTATTCATTGTTTACCTGAAATCTAAATTTAATTGGATGTCCTGTATGTTATTTGAGAACCTTAAATTAGGGTATTTTAACAACTTGCATCTATAATAGGTGGGTCAAATTTATGACTGAGTTTCACCAGAAATGTTTTCCTGTGGGTGGTCTCTTAGCCTGCAGAGTTGTTCTTTGGGAGGTGTGAGTGGGGTGGGAGGGCAGGTTGGTTATAAAGATCTATTTTGGAGCTCTCCCACTTTTTCTTGATCATTCTAATGAATAATGACATTTTGACATCTGCTTGAGCAGCACCACAGCTAAGTTGCTAGTTGTTTTTCAGTAATCACTCAAGAGATATGAGGGCTCTCAGAGATACTGGTTGTCTTAAAAAAAAAAAAAAGGCTTCCTCCTGCTGATCTAGTTTATAGGTCTTAAGCAAGAAAGAAGACTTTGAAAACAGGGAAATGGAAAAGGTGGATTGAATGCATTCTGCTTGTTTAAATGTTTACATCCAAAATAAAAGTAAGAAACTTCATTAATTTTTTTTTTTTTTTTACTTAGGATAAAAAACTAAAAGGCATAAAGGAAGAAAACATAAGGGCTATCATTCAAATATTTGCCAAGGATATTAAATCATGTCATATTTGCATTAGTTTTCCTCCCTTTAACAAGCCATTCTCCTTGTAGTCTAAACCTATATAACATCCAGGCTCCTCCTTTAAAATTTCATTCTCTTCACTGCCTTCCAGGCACCATCCTCCATCAGATGTGCTGGCTACTGCTCCTCACACTGTTCTGATTTCCTGTCTATTATTCAATTTAATAAACACTTATTAAAGCAATAAGCAAGGTGAATGGTTCACATTATCAAGCTGTTTGTAGTATGGTTATAAAAAGAGGAATTTACAATAAGGGAAATGTGTTGGACTTATATATAAAAGAACTCAGGAGAGCCTGAACCTTGGGCATTTCTAATAAGGGTAGAAAAGAGGGGACAGGTTCCTAAGACTGTAGAATTAGAACTTACAGGACTAGGCAACTGTTTAGAAGAGGAAAGGAAGCCAGAGAAGAAACTTCCTGAAAAGAAAATTAGATGTGATTGGTTGACTGGCAGGTAAATGGGAGTTGAGAACACAGATCATTCTTAAGGAAGGGAAAAACTGCATTGAGCCTAGACAGAGTAAGGTCTAGAAAAATTGCATTGAACCTAGACAGAGTAAGGTCTAGAAACATGCCATGAGAAGAGAGGCGGCCCCATGAGAACGGGAATGAACTGCCACAGACAGTCAATGGGAAGGAGCAACCAAGACAGACACACTGAACAGCAATGCACCAAAAGCCGCTTTGTGAAAAGTAGTGCATCTAACAAGCAAAGGAGGGTGAAGATAAAGCTGAATCAATCTATGCTAGTCATCATCCTAAAAGAGGTGCCAACCCTTTGGAGCTGAGCTTAGAGCTCCTTCTCTTTGCCTCAGAGCATCCAGGGTAAACCGTATTAGAGGTATTAGAGTAGTAGAATTGTCTGTCATACACACTAGTCTCTTGGCAAAAATTAGTAGTGCCCATATTCTCAATAAGCATTTGAAGAATGAATGAATGAACAATTTAGTGGCCCTTAGGACCTCAGTCTTCCATGTCAGCTTTACATCATAATGCTCTTTCTAGCCCCACAAACTAGCCTCTCATGCACAAGTCTTTATAACTCATTCCATCTCAAGCAGAGACCAAATTATTTTGCTCTTTGTTGACTTGCGTTACCAGCATTCAAACAGTCTAATAAAATCCATAAATTGTTTTCAAAATGTGTTGCTAAAAGCCTTTGGGTTCCATGATACATGCTGTCCCAACTCAACCCCATCTCTTAGTCCAGGGACTATCCAGAATCATATAAGCTTGAGGGAGGGGGAAGAATAGCAGTCATACTTAAATTGGTTGCGTAAATGAAACATTATTGTAAGACTGTGGTTTTTAAAAATGACTGAGGTTTTTTTTTTTAGTTTAAAATAAATTATTCATCCTTTAAACTCTAAGTTTCATACAAGGTCCACGTCCTTTCGTTTATGTTTAAATTATTGCCCAAATATCTTAATACAATTCAAAACCCTTCCATCATTCACCTCTCACTGTACACCAAAATGGAGTAGGTAAGGCAATGAACAGATTCTCCTTCTCTGTGGTTTATTTTCTGCAGCTTTTTCTGTTTTCCAGTCATGGATCTGAAGAATTATCCTCCAAGAAGCCAAGAAATGTATTAACACAGGTTGTTCCTGGGAAATTCAAAGGTTTAATTCAGCTTCACACTAACATTGTTTTAATTGGCTCGGAACGGGAGCCAGTCAAGCACTGGTGTGCAGAAGCTCTCCTGAGAGCCAATTTGTGCTCATCTCTCCCCAACTCTGCATTCAGTGATACCACCTTGGTAGCCCGAAATCCACCATGCTGGGAGTGTTTACCCCACAGAAATCTGCAAATGCTACAAATCGGGGCTTTTTTTCTGCTCACATTTAAAGTTTTTTTTTATGCTCCCTACAAGGAAATAATGCACAACTAGCTTGAGAACTACAGCACACAGTTAAAATTTTTTATGTTCCTACAAGGAATATCGGCATACAGTTAAAATTTTTTTATACTCCCTACAAGGAATTAATGCACAACTAGACTTGAGAACTACTGACAAGGAATATACTCAATGAATTAGGTCTGAGGGCTTCTGATATGTCTGCAATTACATGTTGGCAGCCTCACTACCTAGTGCCAATAACATGCAATATTTTATATACTCAATGTGCTTCAAAAATCTATATATAATCTGTATTTTTAATTGACTCAAATTTTTAATGTTAAAAGAGAGTTTGCTAATTTTTAATTAAAAGTTTAATCGTAGATTTTGGAATCATAGAATTTGAGTGCTGAAGGGAATTTAAGAAGTGATCTAGTCCAATTCTTTCAGAATTTAAAAAAAAAAAGCACTAAGATCATATAAACTGAGACTCACTGATATACACTAACCTATTGTAAAGGCAGCGCCAAAATTGCAATGTCTGCCTGCAACCTGACCACCTGAATTTCTATGTGAGTTTATATGGTGGATTTGACTTAAAAAAGAGGAGAGAGAAAGAAACAGAATTCCATTATGACTGCTCAGTTCTAGTACCAAGGGACCTGTTTGAGAGCATGACAGCAGAAAAAAACTCATACTTTCAAATGAAAATGTCAACACATAGCCTGAGTAAAATAATTAAGTAGAGCACATATTTCCATACTTCATCATTCGAGTAAAGCAAATACCTGTATTGAAATCATCTCTCATGGAAAGAAGACTTCCCTTCTCACAGGATGCTGAACAATTACCACAGATTGGAGCACGGCTATCACAGTTCCCTAAGCACATAATGGTGTGCTCTGATGGAAAAATAATACATTACTGGTTGGTTTTTTTAAGTATAATAAAGAAAAGAGAGAAACATCATACCCATGCAAGAAGCAACAGATTTCTTTTCACTGTTCCACAGTATCCTAACATCCCCACGATGATCAGGAAACAGCAAACGGCAATCATGACCGGATGAACTACAGGAAAGTAAGTCAAGATGACAGCCTCCTCTACCCTAAAAGAAGAATAATAATGTCACATTATAAATACAATATAATTAAAAGATACTCAAAACATAGTACAAGACACAATTGTTATTTGTGTTAATAATCCTATAAATCAACATGCCTCAAATGAATGTATTGCTATTTTCAACATCATTGAGCTATTGCTAATTTGCTTGTTTGCTTTATTTTTGTTTTGTTTAATTTTTATGCAAGTGGTACATTTCCTACTTCAACTCATTTAAAATATATTATAAGATAGGACTCCTTTATAAGAAGTTGTTGACCTACTATTAGCTTGGAAGCGTCAGCCTGAGGGAACCACACTGGACCCTTTGTTATTTCCCAGCTGAGAAGAATCTCCTCCCTCCTCTCTTTCCTGATCTCGGGCTCCATGTACAGCATTTTATTTCTCCCTGAGAACTGATCCTTCCTAAAGATGTGAAAAACTGCTATATAAAAGAAAATTTTAATATTTCTATATTAAAAGAAAGAGGAAGGGAGAGAGATGATTTTTGCTAGAAAACTATGAAAAAAATCATTAACTACAACCAGAATAGTAAGAGTAATAATAATCATAATAAAAATTACCATTACTAAGCTTCACTGTTAAGGACTTTACAAAAATGTATCTCAGTTAATTCTTAGGACATTTCAGAGTGGTATATATTGCATTCCCTGTTCAGAGGTGAAAAAATTGAGGCCGAGTGAAGTATTTGCCTCTTGCGACGTTTGCGGGTCAACCTTTGAAATTTTAAAAGTAAATGGCATTATGGGTTTGGTTTTCATTTGCTCAAGAATATGAAAGTAAGAAAGCTAGCAGTGATTTTCATAGAGACAAGTAGCTCTGCTGTCCTTTATATGCAAATATGACATCACCAACAGAAGGACAGGCGACTGTTATTTTCATACCCATAAATGTTCTCTAGGATCAGTGGCACACCTTAACGACAATGCTAGAAAATGCAAGCTCTGTAACAAAGGTAGCCATGGGCAGGGAAAACTTTCTGAATGATTGTAGAAGAGCACTACCATTTAAACAGATGCTGGCAAAGTTACCTAGAAACTAGTGCCTGAGGAAACCTAATGAAAGAAATCAATTGTTAATTGTAAAGCCTACCTTGTTTCTGCGGTTAAAGTCAGAACATTATTTAGGTAGTCCCTCATCCAAGCAGAAACTGCCAACACGCTGATGGACATTAACTAGCAAGAAAAAAACATAAACTGGTTACCAAAGACTTTTGCACTCTATGCCAGATTAATAGTAAAAAAAAAAATAAGGACTTTTGTTACATAATCATTATGTTTTTACCCAATTACCACTTCCACCCATTGAAATTTACTGTTATTATAAATATCTGCCATTCCATTTTGGAATCATGTCACAGCCACTAAATAGAATGTCACCAAATAGGATATGGATAGATATACTATTAAATTGCTGATGCCAGGTTCAAGACAAGAATAGCACAAGATGAAGATAACATAGAACTGAATTATCAAATCTACAAGATGAGCTTAAACCATGTCATATGTAAAAGCAAGGAAGCAATCAAAAACTGATGTTGTCAAAAAAAGTCACAAGCTAAAGTTCAAACAATTTGAGCATCAAAATAATAATAATAATAATAACGAATGCAATGGTTTCAAGCATCGAGTCTGCTAAAATATCTTAATTCATAATAATACTTAAAAAAACTCACTGATCACCTTTGTAGGATGCTGGATACTCAACTCATTATTCAGAAAACTAATATGAATTCAATATTTACCCTATCTTTCCCATACAAACCAAAGACACAAACACTTAATGAAAATTTTTATAGATGAGTTTCTGCTAATATGTGAAGGAAGCATAACAGAGTACCACTGTTTAACAACATCTTCTGGAATAATGAATTTCTAGGCAAAGATCCTTCATGGCTGCCAAAATTATCAGGTCAGTAGTTCTCAGTCCTGTCTGTACATCAGAATCACCTAGGACTCAAATTACTGAACCCAGAACCACTTTGGACCAATTCTTGGGGCCTGGGCATAAGAAATGTGTAAAGGATCCACAGATGTTCTAATGTGTAGTCAGGACTGAGAACTACTGTGTCACATGAAAGGCTGATGGGAACTTTTAGAATGGAAAGATCAGGGTGACTTAAAATACCAGACCCCCACTGATCAATCTTAGTATCACAAAAGGGAACAACCAGATATGATATCTCCCAAGGTGATGCAATCAGACATACACCTTTGAAATGTTTTTACCAAAAAGTCAAACCTGAATTTAATCAAGCTTCCAACTTTCACTTTATAGGAATTACAGGGAATAGATTTAAACTTGTTAAATACCACTGTGAGAATGCAATCAGCAAAATCAAGAACATGAGAAATTTTATGAGACAAATGATATAATTTCTTCAATTAAAAAAATTGGCAAGTGGAAAAAAGGAAGAAAGGAAAAATCGTTATAAATTAAGAGACTTAAGAGATTATCCAATGCAATATGTTGACCTGGGTTGAATCCTGATTCGAACAAACCAATCACAAAGAGACATTTATGAGATGACTAGGAATATTTTATCATGACTGGATATTGAAAAATATTAAGAATTTATTATTTTAGATATGGCAAAAAGTATTAAGGTTTTTTTAAAAAATGATTCTTTTTTTAAAAAATTTCTTATCTTTCAGAGATACATGCTGAATGGTTTGATAAATAATCATAATGCATGGGGATTAGTGGGAAGTTTATAATTATTAAAACTGGGTAATGGGTAAGTGGAGATTAATTATACTGTGCTTTCTGCTTTTGTATATGTTTTAAATTGTTCATAATTCAAGGTTTTTTTAAAAAACAACTATCTAGAATGCATTCAAAATGAGTCTTCCTGGGAAGCTTTTCCAAAAGCTGAAAATCGAACCCTAAGTTCTGAAGGTCTTTCCTACTTTGATGGAAGTTTTTCTAAAATGTGCCTTATATTTATCTCCTTAAGCACAACACAGAGCAATTCTACTTAACTTGATTCTTAATAATTGCTGTAACCTTAATGAATATCAATTGCCATTATATGTTACAGATTTATCTTAAATGATGAAATAATAAATATACAGGAATATATAGGAATGTGTCTGTACTGACTCAAGCAGTGGCCATGAAATATGCTTTCTGGATAAAGGCTCCAAGGTAAGCAAAACATGTAGATCTCTGACCTCTTGTGCAATGAAGTACGGCTAGCTGCTTAGAAAGTCAGCTAGTGAATTCTCTAGTCCTTCATTCAGTTGCAAATATTTACTCAACACCTACTATCTGCCTTGTATTGTCAGTGCCAGATTGGGAGACTCAGAAATAAATAAGAGAAGCAAGAGTCCAGCCTGTATGGAGCCTCTTGTGGGACATAAGGAATAAATATATAAACCAGATAATTACAGACTGTAAAAAGTACCATGAAGCAAAAGCACAGAAGAGAGCGGTAACCTGTTCAAGGTCTTACAGACTCTAAGTGACTGAGCTAGGATTCAAATTCGGGTCTTTGGTCTTTGGGGCTTTAGGCTCAGTCACTCACTGCTTTCCAAGTTTAGAGACGAGCATGACAAGTTCCACAGACAGTGAGGAGACAAACCTGCACAGCATGCAGGCTTCCTTTAAAAAAAAAGGTGTGTGTGCGGGTGCGGGTTGCGGGGGTAGTCTGTAGTGATTAGGCTCAGTCTGAATGTTTGAACCATGATCTTTAGTGAATGGGGCTCAGGGGTCCTTGACCTAAAATATGTTAGGAACCCTGAGACCATAATTCAGAGAATTAGGCCAGTTATTATTATCCTCATTCCCACTGGGAATGAAGAACAGATTGTAAACCTAATAAAATTACCCAGTGTATTAAACATGCTTCTAGCTTCTACAAACTTAATACTTTAACATCTGTTCTACATGCTTATACTGGACATATGTTGGTCTGGACAAACTGATAATATGCCTGAGCTACCTCGCCTTGGCTGCCTGCTCTTCAGCTACCTACCCTGGGCAAGAGTCCTTCTCCCGAGCATGCGCTTTTCATTTTCAAATACAAACCAACCAGTCCGGTGTCCACACACCCAACCACCTTCCTTACTGAGTTCTCTCACTCTGGGTCACTCTACACCCGTCCTAATCACTGAAAAATCCAGATGCCAGAAAACTAGAGACAGGTTCTATATGCCAGAGGCTGCTAAAATTATTCAAACTAGACAATACAAAACCCCCTTATCCTGCCTTACTTGTTCCTTCTTAAAAAAGCCACAGTAAAAGTAGTTGCCCAGTTTCCCCACCTCTCTGCCTTATGATGGACCCCGGTGTTTCCTTTCTTGGTCCACCTGTAATGAGACATCTACTCCTTTGGGATCTGTGAGTATAATAAACTACCTTTTTTTAATGGAAGTTGTCTCCCAATGTGTTGGCCTTACCATACCTAAATAATAGAACCCATTGAAACACACATGGCTTGCAGGGAACCATGGACCACTTAATTAAATTGGAGGCTATGTGTTCTCCCTCTGTTTGATTATTTATGGATCTCTAAATACCTTGTAAGTTTCATGGAGACAGGAAAGTATATTAATGTGCTATTTTATTTTATTACGTCAAATTATCTTGCAGTTTTAAATAATTCTCCCCTCTTTTTATCACTCTTCAAAATCATAACTGACCTTGGTTTCTTCATTCTCAAATTTTTTACTGACTGTTCAACCAATTTTCAGTATCATAGCTCAGGTGTCAGTGACTTATCATATTCTTCATTTTGTATAATGTATTATCAGCGGTAGTCTTTATACACAGTTCTTCCATATATAACGAAAAGTGTATGTCTTTTAAATGGCATATTCCAAAACATTTCCAGTAGGATAGAATGGTTAAGAGCATGGGTTTTGATGTCATTCTTCCATCTAAAAAACATGCATTGATTGATCAGCTGCGCTTTGCCAGGTACTATGCAATGTGATGGACATGTACTGATGGGCAATAACAGACATCATCTCTGCTCTATGAAATTTACTAAGTGATGAGGACACGCATGAATCAGCTCATCAGATATAAATGCATAACTACAAACTGTAATAAGTATTGGAAAGGAATAATACAAGTTACTATAAGAACTCCTTTTGAGGTGACTGACCTATTTCATAGGGTCACAGGAACTTCGCTAAGACAGCTGAGATCTGAAGGATAATTATTGAGTTCATCAGGGAGAAGGAGGTTAAAAAGAACATTTCAGTTAGAAAGAACGGCAAAAGTCCCAGTGTGGAAGGCATCATGCATAATATGTTCAAAGAAGGGAAATTGGCGCATGGTAAGGATAGAAAGCTAGGCAGGGCCAAGATCACAGAGTCTTAGAGGTCATTTTAAGACATATGGTCTTGACCATAAGGACAATGAAAAGCCATTGAATCAGAGAGCCTTGGTTTGAATTCCAACTCTGCTCCTTTTAAGCTATATGACTTTGGGTGTGTCATTTCATCTTTCCTAAGCCCCAGTTTTCTGTTATAATAATAAATCCAACTTCACAGAGGATTTATATGATGAAAAATCAGAGTAGGATTCATTTATATATTGTACGTATTTATTTTATCTCAAGTCACTTTGACCTCAGGGCTTTCTCTTAATCTTTCTTAGTCAGCTTAAGAGATATGACAACTCCAAAATCAGTTCAGAAATGGAGTCTTCACATATCTGAAGGTCTAATGAATGGGTCAGTGCAAATATGCTGTGATATAACTACCTATTGGACTTCCGTGGCTTTCTCAATTTTAACATCTCAAAAACTGAATTCATCTCCTTTCCTCTGGAAACCTGTGCGTCCTTCCTATCTCAATAAATGGTATAATCAACGCTACAATCACATAACTGGCAACTTGGCAGCCAGCCTAATCCTCTCCCTCCTCCTCAGTCCTACATCTGATTACTTTCAAGTCCCACAGATTGTTCCTGCAACTCGCCTAGTGAATTCCTCCCCATTTCCTGCCACTTCTGGGTAGTTCGGGTCTTCAATCTCTTGTCAGGCAATTACAATCACCTTATAATAGAACTCTCTGGCTCACAGATTCCACCTCAAATTCACCCTTCAGTTAGCTTTATAAGACAAAGATCAAGTTCTTCTGCTTATAAAGTTCTACAAGCTGACCCTGATGGCTCCTCCCCAACTCTACTTCCACTTTCCCCCAACTCTCTCCTACAGAAAAAA